ATAGGTTTTCAACGGATTTTCTGTTAGGTTGCACTTAGTCTTTATATAAGGCATAATAACACCAAGTACGTGTTATGAGCATTCTCCTGCTTCAGAATCGCTGTCCTTGTGATACAAATGAGTGCGGCACCTACAAGAACATTATGTAGTTAAACAAGCATAAGCTCACTCTTCTGCTCAACATTATGAAGTCCACGTCCTAGCTCGTCCCTTGGCAGGTGCAGTCTTTCCAAGCATGCAAGTTGCTTGTGAATTCCATATTTGATTAGAAACTCTCTGTGGTCTATAGCCTTGAAGTCTTCTGACTCCAGCTTGAGCACTCCGACGTAATAATTTATTAAACTTATGGCGTGCTCATTCACGCTTTGATAAAGTTCTTGCTATTTAGTGCAGTTTTGGCTAGTCGCTCAATTCTCACTAAAATCTCTGCAAGGACTTTATCGTAGCTTTCACGGGTAGGTGCACAAGTCCTGTCTTCCACTGGTATTTGTACCCATGAGTTCCTTTCAATAGCGCCTCTTTATCAACACATACCTCGGTATTAGTGGCTGACTTTGCTGGATTTACTACTAGTCCCACCACATCAAGAAACCTTTAAACTTCTACCAGAGATTTCATGATATCCTCATCGGTCGCAAAGATCTTGAGATCATCCACAAACAATAGATGATTCGTAAGGTGCATTCCTTGATCATTTGAAACCGCCACTTTTGGGTACCTTATATTGAGCCGACAGCTCAAATGATCCATGCTCAAAACGAATAGCACTGGAGAAAGGCTATCACGTTGGATAAGGCCCTTGTTGTATTTTTTTCTCCAATACAGTTTCTTGATTGCTTTTCAATGTAACCGACCATCTGGAGATAATGCTTCTCAGAAACCTACTGATCTACGATGCATGTTAAGCTTTTCAATCCACTTAATCAGGTATTAGCAATTTACTGAGTTCAAATAAAGGCAACAGCTTAATTTGTTAATAAGTCAGCGTTATACATGATAAATATTTGCAATGACTTAACTGGGGCGATAAATTACTACAATTAAGCCACACACTTGAACTAGTTAAAAGAGAGGTGGATGAAATAAAGAAAACAGTCAAGTACTGTATATGGTTTAATTGTTATATTTTCAACTATCACGATGAAATTTTTGTTATAACGAAAAAAGTGTATTTGAATTCAGCAGATGAAACAAGGAAGCACTTTACCTATGCACCAAAACTATAACTTCTATATACAGGCTCATAAAACCTTCACTGATGTAGAAATTAAATCTATTCCGCCATAAAAGAAAAACATGAATTACCTAGTTCAATGCTAAACACCCAAACACCTTGTCCAGAAAATTTTAGTTTTCATTCAAGAACTAAGTAAAAATGATTGAGTGAAATAAAGAAAAAACATATAAAAGGTAATGCATGCCGATTGGAAAGAATAAATCCCACTTGCATTTGCATCTACTGTTTTGTTAAGGCATTTTCATTTCGTAAGTAAATATAATATTAATAACCTTTCGTGACTTTCTGCGGTTCAGAAAGCGCTGGATTAGAATCAAATCCAAACAATTCCAAAACATTCATTGTATTCTATAGGTAACCATAAAGTCGTTATCACTGAAAATTTAATTTAGCAGTAAATTAAAATATTTCATACAAACCGAAGAAACTTCGTTTGATTTTAAACTAATCTCTCCTGTTGCCCAGCTTTCGAATCTGAAGACTCTATTGTGCTGATGTACTATGAATCTTTACATGCAATTAAAATAGTGAAAATTATGCCTAGTTCTTGGCATGTTCACCAAAAATATACTCATTAATAATAAGTAGCGTGATTTTTTGATGCAAGTAAAGACGATTTCCTGAAGAGTGAGGAAACTGCAGAAGAATAACAGATACTTGAAAGATGAAGGACTTGCATATCAAGGAGGGATCCAAAGAAACACTTGTTGTAGGCATATACACAAGATATATGACTTACTGAAGCAAAAAATGAAAGAAGTAAAGTTTACAAGATGGACAGTGACAGGAATTGCAAACAGCAATACATGGTGGTATTTGGCATATCGCAACTTGACACGAATAACAAATCATCGCGACTGACCGTGCTTAGGGGTACGATTTGCGAGGATGCATTTAACTGCTGTGGCTTAGTGATTTTTAGCATTGTTTGGTGTTTGAGAGTTCATGCTAAGTTGTTCTTGGCATGAACTCGTTTGCTTATTTACATTGTATGTGTTTTATTATTTCCTAATTCATTTCATGCGATCATCTGCAATAATTGCATAAATATAAATTTTTCAAAGTTTTAGTTGCTGTTACTGAACTAGTTGTCTTGTAACTCGATAAAAATGATTCAATTTATTTTTGAGCTGGAACTGACTGGAACTTGCTAGGCTACTGTTTGCCTGTCTGTGTGTATTGTCGTCTTCGGTAATTCATAACGAAAGTCTTTGAAGTTAGAATAGTTGCTGTTGTACTTTTGTTCTTCCTTTGCGTTTGTATACAACTGTGATCAAATGAGTGACCTCATTACAATCGATAACGTGTACGACGCATGCGAACGTCTTGATAAAGAAAAAGTAAAGGTATTTGTTTTTTAATTGAAACCTTTCACTCATCACCAATTCATTGCTGTCTTACATACAGCGAATTATTTATGTGCTATTTTTCTGCCTTATATCCACTTGTTTCTCAGCTTTTCTCCTTTGATATATCAAAAGTTTGCGCTTCATATTTGTGTCTAAATAAAGGAAGCATGTAGATAATATTTTGTGAATAATTGAATTGCTTGAAATATTTATGTGGTTTACTCACTGGCGTGGAAATGAGGAATATTGTAGAACGCGGATGATTTCAAACTCTTCATGTCCGGAGCCAAAAGTAAAAACTGCAAAGTTAAGAAGCTTTGTGCTCAGATGATTGTTCGGTACTGGCAAGATTTCACGGATCTACGGAATTTAGCATTTTACTCGCTCGTATCTTTGCTGGAAGATCGTGATCCTGAGGTCTATGTTGTTTTATAATGCTCATTTAGATTCTATCTGCTCCATTTACATCGTTTTCTGTTCCCATTGTACTTCAGGTTTTAATGTATCTTTTTATTGATAATACAGATCCGAAAAGCAGTAATTCGTGAAGTACCGCATGTATTCAAATCTGGTGAATTGATTGACAAGATTGCGGATGTACTGTCTCAAATGCTGCAACAAAGTGATGACATGCAAGAAATAGCCATGCTTGATGGTGTTCTTGTCCGTTTTCTGAAGGCTTATCCCAAAGGTTCTGCTTCATAAATGCTTGTAGTGATTTCGAACCGTTATTTTGAAATTGGCAATCTAAACTAACTTTTCCTTGTGTTAGTATGGATCCAATTTGTTCACTGCACCTTAAGCTAGAAGAAAAATATGCTATAGATTGAATAATCTGTAATGTTAGATGTCCTTTCTGCGATATTTATCAATGTTATGAAGTCGGAAGAAGAATCGATACGCCTTCGCTTACTAAAATTTATCCGATCCCATGTACAGCAGATTTCGGCTTGTTCTGAAGAATTGGGACTGTTCATCGCGCAACACGTCCGAGAGGTAGGCATCGTTTTTGAGATCCATATTTTCTTTGCATGCAACTTCTAATTAATTACTTAGTACTTATTCACAATTTTTATAGGTAATGAAAGACATCACAGCTGTAGAATTTGATATAATATTTGAGTTCATGCTTTCTGTGGAATTTTTTGGAATGGAAAAAGGACGCAAAGTGTTGTACAACATTATTGTCGACCAAATACAAGTTGACGAACCATTTCCTGTATTTAATTCATCTTTCAACGTTTTAAAGAATTATTTTTCAAATTGTTTCGCAAATCAAATATTATCTATCACTAGGTTTAAAAATTGGCGGAAAGTTAAAGATATTTGATCATTTCGGGAAAAAAATTATGTGCGCTTCATGGTATTCTTTTTTCCTGGTATTTTGAAATGTATAATTTGTCAGGAGCTTAGTTTTTGCCTTCAGATTCAAGATCCTCAGCATCTCGATCAAATATTATATTTTATTGAGCGGGCGCAGGTGCTTATGTCGGTGAGTGGTTATGTCTGAAGTTATATTTAAGGAAAAGATTGCTTAAACAGAAGGTTGCTGTTCTCTCCGTTGTTTTTTTTTTTCGTGATATCAAGCGTGCTTTGGTAATATATTGTAGGTTAACTTCCAAAGTCCTGAGCTGGTGACTTTTCTTTTACTGAAGGGGGTTCCTGTACTTGAACAAATTGATGTACAGTTACGTATCAGACTTTTGCGAGCTTTGGTCGAGCTTCTTCCTTTCTCGAAATCAATAGAACGAAATTGTTTATTGCTTGTTTCTGATTACTTTTTGGTTAATATTTCACTTACTAGTTCAGAAATTGTTTTGCGTTTTATACCGTGCAGTGCACTTTTTACATTACCTTTGTTTTGGCTTATTTATTTGCAGAACGCAGAAATTTTCTAGGAAAGCTGAGATAATTTATCCTGGACGAAGAAAAGAAAATTTCCATTTGGTTAATTTTTTTTCCTTTCACCATGTTATCTTAATGGTTTTAAGTTTTAGAAACTTATTCCCCCTTTACCATCTGAACCTAAGGATGCACATGTGGTTGATCTGAATGAACCTTTGGAGCAAGAATTGCGCCTAAGTGAATTAGAACCGACATCTTTGATTTTTGCATCCTTATGTAAAGCAGATAAAACTGCGTTAAATTCTCTATTAAAACAGTACAAAGATTCCGATCAATGGCGAAAAAGGTTCTTTTAAGATTTCCTTTCCCGCTTTGGCGAAATATTTTTTAATTATACTGCCTATTGGAGAAATAAAGGGACTCGTTTCTGAACAGTTAGGAAATAGCGTATGAAAATAGTATTATAGTGCTCTGAATCCAGTATCACTATTGATTTTTTCTATTTTTAGTTAATTACTAAATATTCGTCACTTGTATTTGAAACTGTTGAGAAGTAAAAATGGGAGCTTCTATGTCTTAGTGCCAGATTTAGTCTTTAACAAGACTTGTTGATTGTAAAGGTTTACTCTCTATATTTATACTGACTAAGTATCGTATTACTGGCATTGTATTACAGTGCTTTAATTTCAGAATGATTTATCTGGGAAGGCTGCTACAACAGTATATTCTTTCGGGTAATGTTGAGTTGCAAAAATTGCGTAAATTAAATTTCTCTGAAATTAATAAGAATCGAGTTTTGTTGCAAGAAGATGCACTGAAAATGGCTGAAAATACTTTGAGTGTGACAAAAATGCTTGCTCATAAATCTCCTTCTTTCGGCCTGAGCATTTTACCTAGTTGGAAAGCAGTAAACAGGTACGATTACCATACTGTACTTTTTGTATTACAATACCGCTGTAAAAACTAGAGATTTGTTTCAGAAAACGTGGTCATAAATGCAATGTTGATGCAAAACCAGAACGAAAGAAAGTATGTCAGGATTTTTATGTGCCACCTGGAGGGAAATACAGCAGTGAGTTTACTTGAATTTGTGGTGCATATTAATCTTATCAAATTATCCATGGATTTGTGCTGTCCGTTGCGTTTTACTACGTTTCTGACATCGCAGTACATTCTTTGGTCATAAGTTCAATAGTTTTCATCTCACTAGATTATGCTGTACATTTTTCTCTTCATGGGCTTATAAAAGTCGAGTCCCTTTCTAAAAGTTTTACTAGATGAATAGAATTTCAGGTATTTTCACTCGAAATGATCAAGGAAACAGTAAAAGAAGACGTTATAATCGATTGTAGATTTGTAGCTTAATAATGATATTTGTTATTCTCACTGATCTCTGTTATTTGTTATTGAATGCCGATATTGTTATTGCAGTGCTCTGTAATATGGTTTTGTTGAGTGCTATCTTTTTTTGATTTCAAAAACAGTCACATATTACCGATCAGCGAGTTTTCGTTTGTTTATAAAGGTAGTTTAAATTTATTTCATGATGTTCAATGATTCAATTCCGTGTTCACTACTCGAAACATGCGCGCCTAAACGATTTGTTCTTGAACATATCCATTATTTTGTTGCTTAGTGGGATGTTAATCCTGAGGTTGTCTTAAAACCAAATTAAATAAATGAGAACTTGAAGTTCACGGTAATTCTGTGAGCTATACTCATGTGCTTGTACATTATTGACATCTTACTACTTTGTTCAGGTATCCGGGTTCCTGACTGCTTTCAGTAATGTTGACCATGTGCTGATTCTTCCAATACTTCTGGCGCAGTTGTTTTTATTATGAAATTTTTGGGGAATTGTTAAGTGCACAGAAAATATTAGGTAGTGCCGAGTGAATTAAGTTTAGCTTTGTATCCATGGATTTTGTACTGATAAGTACAAGAGCTAGTTTATGGCACTTCTTTCATTTTTTAATTTCTAGATTTTTTTTAGTAGATGCTTGAAGATCCTACTGTCATTCTGCAGAAGTGGCCGGAATCTCTGAGGTTGAAGGAGGCACTTTCGTCAGGAAGTTTTGGCCATTGCTATACGATGCCTGGTCTAAAGTAAGAGTATTAGAATGTGAGCATTAGTATCCTGTTTGTTTCACCTTGTTTATCTACTTTTTTTGGGCAGATTAAATGGGCCGTTGCCGGATTTAATAGCCAACACAGATCGGAAGCTGGGTGGAATGTTTAAGGCGCCATCGACTCCCAAGGATTTGGATAGTGTTCATCTTCTCATTGTTAGTTTTTTCTTTAGATTTACTAATAATTGTAGAGTCTTGAGATACCATTGATATTCAACAGGAAGTAATTAGAGGTGGCGCATTCTTTTCTCAATGCATGTATTACAGTTGGTTGTAATAATTAAAAGAAAAGTGAAAAGGTTATAAGTGGTGTAAATGTGAGTTGTATTTTCTATTAGATTTTTTTTCCGGAATTTTTTTGTATTTGATATCACAGCCACCGATAACAGTTTTCAAGTTACTGGTAAAAGTTTACAGGCCGATGGTCACTTCCGTGCTGCAGTAAACCTGACTGCTGAATTGTTGACACAAATTAATCAGGGATTTGGAATGGCCGGTCAGCCTTCGAGCAATACTGATTACAGCCTCAGAGTTCATTAATTGCACTATTTGTAGCATAAAATACGTACATTTTGCATTTCCTTTAGCTGCAAGAAACTGCTGAGTTATTTTCGATCGAATTTTAATTCGTTATCTCGATTTTAATTTTACTATACATAGGTGTAGCCTGATTTTTATTTTCATCTTGATCAGTAGTTTGTTCTTGTGCAAATCTCTTTAAACTTTTTCCAAATAAACCTTCTGTAGATTTGGGCATGCCGTCTGCAATTGCTTATGGCACTGAAATTATATACGTTATTAAATGATGAATTAGTCTCATTTGAAGAGCTAGATGCACCGGACTTGTTTTATCAATATTATCCCAATCTTTATCCTCATAATTCCCAAGGTTAGTGTCAAACTTCTGCATTATTTTGGATTTCAAGTTGTTGAAACATGAATCAAACAAACAATTTCTACTACTTAAAAGACTATTAAATTGACCAGGTATATTTCTCATAAATTATTATTATTTATAGGAAGTTTAGTATTGTTCAGTATGCGTCTGATTCATGCTGAGGCTCTGCGTTTTACATCATCTCCTTGGTCAGCTATAGAAAGGATTGATCGGCTAGAAAAAAATGTCACTGAAGTAAGACGTAGATCATTGTCTCCACTCTTTTCTTCGTCTTTTGTTTTCAAAATTAATTGTAACCAAAGTCGAAATAATCAGTTCCTAGTTTTTAGGTGTTGGATAATGCACTTGATAAAAGTGAGTATTTTACTAAGATATGGAACGATCGTTTGTTAGCTGTCAGAAAAATGCGTGCGCGTAGTTTATTTTTTCTGAAGGTTTACTAATATTATTTCAAATTTAAATTCATTGATAAATTCAGAAACATAATTTATTGTAAAAGACCATAAGTGCATTGCATTAAACATGACAAAAATTTGTTTAAAGGAATATACGACATCTATGATCCTGTACAATCGTTTGTCTAATACGAAAGAATTGGAATGTGAACAGCGTACGGTCCTGAAAATGATGTTGATGAGAATGGCTCTTATCGTTGGTGATGAGAAGAAATTAGAACATTATTCACATGATATGGGCCCAGTGGACCTTAATAACCAAGTGGCATATGGGTCTGTTTCAACTATGTATGAGTACAAGATTCATGTCGTTTTAACGTGGACTTGATATAAGGGGAAAACGAACTGCTATTTTCGAACTCCAAAAGGATTTGGCATTTCAGATTTTTAAAGTCTATATTTTATGGAGACTATAGTGAAGCTTACGAATTGCTGAGGAAACATACAAATTCGTTCTCTACGCCTGAAGTACTAAATTTCTATTCTTTAACTAACCTATATAAAATCGCACTAGAAGTTTAGTACCATATATTAATGTATAGCAATTTTCTGAAATTTATTTTTCCACAGTTGGGGATTGAATAATAAAGATCTGTCATTAAAATATCATCAAAATCTGTTTTTTCTCTTCCACAATTTTCAGTTGTATAACAACATGGCTATTTGCTTGTTATACAAAGGACAAGTTGCCGATGCCATTGAACTACTAAAAAATTCCTCAGACGATCTAATCGAACCGGCAATGATCAACCTTTCCACTGTTGGCGAACTTTCGGTCTCAAACTTTGATGCTCAAAATGTAATTTTTTTATTGTCTGAAAGACGATATTTCGAAGTCGAACCAATTTTCAGTCTCAAAAACTTATTCTAAATTTATAATTGCAACTGTTTTTTACAGTTGATTATTTTTTATCAGAAGTTCGAGCGAGTTCCGGATATGTTCCACGCTCTAACAATCAAAAACTAACACCTTCATGGTTATTTGAAAAAGTGTTTACGCGTGACTTCACTTCCGAAGCATCACAAAGATCAGTGGCAAGAGTTTATTACTAATTAAGAGACTTTGTACACTCGACAAAACTAATAAAGATTGTTTTCTGTTCTTTCACACGTGGCAGTAGAAACGGATTTAACACAGCTGAACATACCTGCAATACTGAGGAAAAATCGAACTTTCTAGTTTGAGAATTTCTGTATTATATCCCTATACTAGTTACTGACACTCTATTAAGAACAAATAATATTGCACACAATCAAAAAGGTGCGGCAATTAATAGGGAAGTAAGATTGTACGCTTGAACTGTTCTAGACGAGCACTGTTTTCTGTACTTCAGAAGTAACGATGATGCTTGAGACAAATAATATTTAGGAGCTAAGGATATAAATTTCAATATCTAGTTCACAGATAACGAGATATATGCATCATCCTTCACGCCTTATATGAAGAAAGGTATGGGGATGACGTACTCTCGGCACTCGTGCATCCAAATATATCTCCTGTTAACTTTTAACATAACTGCCACCTCCAACCAATCAATATGACATCAGGAGGGAGTGGAATACTGACTAGCTACAACCCAATATTTCCTTCGCCAGTACCTAATGAGGACTTGCTAACACTCCCAAGATATGCAACATTACTTGTCAACCAAAGACAACATCAACCATTACAATATCCAAAAGGTACGAGTAATATTTTGAAGATCCCGAAAACTAGACCTACCACATCACTCTACTCACACCTGCTACTCCAACATACTGAAACCTGAATCAATCGCTCATTCGAACTTTCCATTACTTTAATGAATCCTGTAGACAGTTTATGTTCTCACCAAAAATTCTTGTCTCTTAACACTGATAATTTTGTACCAAAACAACTTGATTTTGCAGCAATAATACAGCTAACAATTGAATAAATTCACTCACCTTACGAGCAATCATATAAGATGAGGAGGAAACATTGATATTCCGAAACTTACTGCTCACAATGGCATTGCATTACATTGTTAATAACTATTAATAGGGACCAATACATTCGCTGGAGTTACCACAATAAATGTACCAACAAATATTTTCAATAAACATCAGGAAAATTATAATATTATTCAATCACGGACAATACTGGAAAGTGCCTTTTGGTAGCTAACCATAAGAATTTGTTCATAAATTATCTAAACATCCAAAGTACTAACAAAATCCGAGTGACAGCTGACTAGCTACCAAAACGCACCATCCACTACTTTAAATTCAACAAGAAAAATTTTCTAGGATTCACCTTGAAAATAACCTCTCTGGAAGCGTGATCACTACTTGAATGAGTTTTGAAAACAAAGTTCTCGTTTTTCTCTAAATTCATAAGCGAAAACAAATTAAAAAACAGAATGAAAAAAACAATTAGGAAAGCAATTTGCAAATTCAAATTCAAAACGCAGAGCCCTAGCAGATATAACAGACATGGTAAAGTGCACTATCAACTGAAGAACAAACTTTCCTGAACTTCGACACTTTTTAAGTGAACTGAACAGAAACCAGCATGCTAAGTCATACTTTCAAAGTATGAGTATAAAATCCAATAAAGAAAATGACAAACACAACAAACGAAGGCGATTAAGAATATTAGTGTGATGCACAGATTACTCAGCAGAAGAAATTTTTAATAATTAATCAAATGACTATTTACAAAGCAATCACAAAACCACCAATTTTAAAAAGATCCCTTTCAGAAAACACAAACTAAGAGGTGGTAGTACACATCATTGGTTGTGTATTCAAAAACCATTCACTAGTGCATGTCTTCATATCTTACATACCTATGATAACTAAATCTAATCTTCAACAGATCGTTATGAAGTTTTTATTTTCTCCCCTCTCGCCCCAAGATTATCCATGACTTCGTTAGATAAAAATTTCATTAGTAGGTAGCCAGATGACATTAAATTAAAAATAGACATTTAAGTCCTAGATCCTTTTTAATTACTGCGAGTTTCTTAATAAAGTGAATAGCAATCCATAATTCTCAATACAAATGTAGACAAAGTTCATAAAGTAAACATAATTTGAAGTTCTATGCAAAAAAAAGGAAGCAATAACTTAATGACATTGATTTTTTCATTAGTTTTGACAAGGCAAAGCTATCATTAAAAAAAGCAGTAATGGATAGTGAACTTGTACCCAGTACAAAATAATGCAATTATAGCAAATGCCAAAGTGAATTAATAAGCAACGAAAACTATAGGGCATTTCGGGGAAAAATATCTAAAAACTCAGTGATTTTAATTTTTATAGCATTCGTTATTGCTTCTTTTAAAAAGAAAATGATCAAGTGATTCCTGAAACTTTTATCACTGTTGGACATATAATTCAATATATCTATGATTGAGGAAAGAATTTGCCATATACGAAAATGAGTGAAAAGTATGGCATCCATTTCGGAAATTTTGATGCTTCTGAATGTTATAAAGGCGTTATATTCAAGGCTCTTACTGACTTCTGTCTTTTCCTGCAGTTGCCGTAAACGAATCTGGTTGCATTAGTGGACCAGTTAACTAAAAATTCACAAAGGTAAATAAGGTAAAAGAAAAGCAAGGTATTTAAAAAATATACTGTTTTTTTCCAAGTATCCTAAAAGATATTTTCCAAAGTTTCCTGCAGTCTTAAAAAAAATACACGAAAATAATCGCAAGTTTTGAATCTGCGTTGCTTAGCTCTTGATATATTTTACTGCGCAATACTATTTGATCATGTATCTCAAATTGATTGAGTTTATGGCTATACCTCAGTGAGTCGAAGGTAATCCGGAAGTCCATTAAGGCGGTTTGCCCTTTCCGGATTATACTGCTTTTCCGTGAAGCCATGATCTGGACTTGGTGACGAGCTTTTTTTGGCGCTACTTCCAACTGCTAAACTGTACTGCTTTTTGGAATAGCTAGAAAACAGCTGTCCACAAAGATCGCGGGCTAACATACCACCAGCATACATATCGACAAACCGCAAAAGTAAAATACCATCTAAAATTTCTTTATCTAATCTATAAACTAGGCCGTATCCCCTATGTAAAAAACTTGTAATATTGTTTGATCTAGGTTCATATGAGAGAGCAACAATCTTGCTGCACGTTCTGTAATCTATAAACTAAAAGCTTCATAACTCTTTCTAAGCACCATTTCCAGAAGATTCCCCGCCTATAACTCATTTTTCCTGTTTAAGTCAATTTTAAAGGAGAATTTACGAGTAAATATGAAGTCTACAATGTTAACAATGGAGAAAAATCCGCTGCAGAGATTTCAAACCTTATAATGTAGATACCAAAACTTTAATGAAATTGACCCACCATGATTAAATAACAAAAAATATGTTTAAAATTTGAAGAATATGAAACTTTTACGATAATGAATAGCAGGAAATAAAATAAACCAGGCCGTAATCCCCGATGTACAAAACGTCGTAATATTGTTTCATCCAATGGAGTTTCATCTAAGTCTATATGAGAGAGCAACAATCTTGCTGTGCGTTCACGGTTCAGACCTAATATTGTATTGTAAGAAAAATAAATAAAGTTGAGAAGAGTTGACGCAGCCACAAACAAAAACCAAAACCTGAAACACAAATCACATCAAAAAATTATTAAATTCTATAAGAACATAATTTCGATAATACAGCGCGCTTTTTTGGAAAAATTAAAATTGTCCCGAACATGTACTAAGTTTTCGAAATAATTGCTGCACAAATCAAAAACATTACTCACACACCATTCCTGAAGGGTCATGAAACCGATGAAAGGAAAAAATTTGTAGCCTTAAGATACAGTAGAAACCCTTTTATATCAATATTCATGAATATAAGGTCTACTTTTGCTATAGAATTGTCAAAAAATTCGCAAATACTATACACATCTAGAATCTTTGCCGGTATTCCATATTTTCTAAAATAATCTGCTTCGACGAAAATTGTAAACCAACCAAAGGAAAAGGTAAATTTTTTCATTGAACATATTTATCATTAAGACGCATTGTACGGAATACCGATGAATATTTGCTAAACGACGCACTTTGAAATCACACATTGTAACACGTGGAAATATACCGGAATCAAGCCATTCTCGTCCTTGCCATAAATCAATCAGAGTCTGAAGGGGTTATTAATATATATCTAATTTTTGATCTTGATAGTACAGTGGTCTAACAAGACATAGGATTAGCTAAAAAATTGGAAGGAAACGGAACCAAATGAAGTATCATTACCTGAAACCCCCAAAGGCCATGACTTGTGCCCAAAAAATTATTGAGTATCACAAATTGAGTAAATATATTGATCAAGAATAGCAATTTCACGATTAAATATAGAGACGTTACATATGATCCCAGTGATGAACCGAAATTAAAACAGAGATAACGATGACTAGGCGAGTGTGGTTTATCAAATTCCAAACATTCAGCAATAAATGATGACAGTTTTTTCAACTCCTTCTTCCGTTCATCAGATTTTGATGCCCTCAAGTTTTTTGTTTCTTTCACGATGGCATCCAAATCCAAACCTGAGAAGTCCAGGTATCATATAAGATTTGCAGGTAATGATTCAGGTTGCAAACTAAGTGAACTTCTGGGACTAATTAATTTCTAGTTGATAGCTGAACAGTTTTTCAAATATTAGATTGCTAAATGAAGAAATTTATAAGAAATAACGGACCACTTTGCTTATTGAGAGTTTTCCATACCCATGCCGGGATAAAAAACATCAGTGCTTGTAGCACTAATACGATTGGTACCCACTGGTAGTAACCAATTTCTGCATCACGACGATCATTCACATCTTCAGGTACCGGTTCATCAAAGTGTACCCAATAAGTATTCTATCAATGACAACATAGTATATTTCAGACTTCTAGATTTACAGAAGACACCCTATAGTTTTCTTGAATTTCACAAATTATTTCTTAATATTTCCGTATTATAACAAGTTATCAGTTGCAAAGTAAGCTTGATTATATTTTTTATACAAATTAAGAAACAAAAGAAGTAAGTTCAAATACTTCATCCCCTATCACTTAATGAATTCACATAAATGCTTACAATTTTTGCATTCAGAAGAATGATAATGTTGACCTACCTGTATGAAACAGTAGTCTTCTGCATATTGCTCCCAACCACCTTTAAATTCCATAGGCATCCAACACTGTATTGGTGAGCCAACATATCTATAAAAAATTTAAATTATCCGAGAAAACAAATAAACCGGACTCACAATCAAATGAATGACCGAAAAAACAGTTGGCAAATATATGACAATCACATTCAAAAGTGCTAGGGTCACACTGAAATAATCGCTGAATTTTAATAAAATTTTCAAATGAAATTAGAAAACGTTATCACGAATGACTTACTGTTTTGCTGAAACAAGGATTGCAAAAAATGTGAGCAGCGAACTTGTAACAAAATAATTGAGCCGATCAATGCGATCATCGTATGTTGTTGGTGCGAAAAGCTTTAAAAAAGCATTATCTAGAAATGGTATCCCCAACATCTCACTATTTTACGATCAAACCTTTCTAATTTCCTAAAACATCAACTTGGAAAAATAAGATTCCCAGACAAGTAGCATTAAAGAGGTGCACGATGAATACTATTAAATATCAGAAATTGCTGGAAAGAAGGAGAACAAGACTTATAATCCACAATAGCACTACTTGTGATTTGCTAACTAATTTCATACTACAACATAATTCTTGTTTTCGGAATACTTCGATAAAACAAAAGTTTTGAATTATTACTTTCATCTTCTTTCAGACTGGAAATAGTAATACTGTGAAAGACAATTTCAAAAGAAAGTAATATTTTAGTAACTGTCAGTTTTCATCATTCCGATACCGGGAGACTGATAACCAACATCTGCCAGTGTTACTTGACGAGGAAATGATAAGTGATACACTAATCTCAGCTAACTTCCTACCAACCATAGGAGATAAAGTCATCGATGCCACTTTATAAACTCAGGTGTTCATTACCTATTAATTTTATTTGCAATTACTAATTCCCTTCTTTTTCCAAGTAAGTGATTGATATATTTAACATCAGAATTCTTAATGTGACTATCATGGAAATTAAGAATTCATCAATCATACGATGATGAACCAGCATTAACCAGTAAATCATCGGTTGAAAAGTTATATTCTTCAGTATCTTATTTCACAGTTGTATTTGGTTCTTAACTGCATAAATGCAATAAAGTTCATAAATCGGAAAACAAAAAGAGATTTGGAGAATTCTTCTCTGAATAAGCGATACTAGCATGTGCAGAAGTAATCCCAGACTAAAACATAACAGAAGAAAATATATTACTGTAAACGGAAAAGTGTAGATAAGTGCGATGAAATTAAGATCAGATTCCAAGGAGTAGTCGTGAGAATATGAAATGCAAAAGATTCCGACACAGAAACGTTGAGGTTTTACAGCCGTAAATCAGAATTATAACGCTATGGAGACGAAGATAATGGATGGAAGTAGTAAAAAATGGAAATTGAGAAACCGTTGAAAATGTGTATGATTGAAACTGATGTCAACAGTTTCTTACTTTCGAGAGGAAATCATAGAACGAGATAATCGAAAAAAATTGATCATCTGCGCCTTCCTGTCTGCAAGCTGAACCCAAAGCTGCAGCTAACTGTCAGGATAGGATAGTTTGCAAGGACAGATTTCTCTATCTAGAGGATAGCAAGAACGAAAAATGGTCAAGAATGAAGAGGAGAGATGGAAAGATGGAGGGAGAAAATTGGCGCAGCCCATGCATAGCACACAAATATTCGCTCCGAGAATGATAAAGCCCCGTTAATAAACAATAGGACGGCAAACTCGCTTCATTTGCATAAGGCAATTAGCTGCACTTATCTGTCGTTAGAAACAGTAGTGGAGTGAAAAGTGAGATCACAGCCTAAGTTATCTTAGTTACATACATGTATGGCCAGACGCAAACAAGCAGTGTGATTAGAAGTGGGAGATAACGCGGAAATGACATGTTGCATGCGTAGGCGGGGTCACGTTCCCGTCCATTGATAGACTACAGATTGTATGCTGCTCTCTGTCTGTCAGTCCTTCCCACGCTGCATTATGAAGATTGAGGGAAAGAAATCAGAGGGCAGAGGGTAGAGTTCAAACTGAGGATCGGCTTGAAAGAAACAAGTCAGCACAGCACACAATCCAATACCACTTTGTTGTAGAATTATACAACAAGGCATTGCAGACACCCTGTACCATTGAATTATGCATCTCTCTTCCGCCTGACCTATCGATTTGGTGTGTGGTAGACGGAACTATACAATCAACTTCCCTTTATTCACTCGACCTGTGCGGTACAGCATAAGTAAGGAACTGATGTGCAGTATTTGGTTACTTCCTTTGTACTGCCCTGAATACACACATCAGTCGATGAACCGATATTTACTCCAAGTTGTTTTGTGTATTGTTGTGGAAGTACAGTTGTAAAAGTGATGCAAAATATATTCATAAACGGCGATGCTTCGCTGTACTACTGATAACTAAAATAGACCATTATCAATTATGCTCTAGTATGTGTTATTTATTTCAAAAATGAACATTGATTGTTTTGAGTAATAGAAACTCGTGTTACCGTCGCAGCCAAGAAAAAATGAGGAAAAAGGATAAATCGTAATATGGCAGTGGATCGAAGTATACGCTGCAACAAGTGTGGACCCAGCATGAGAGGAAGAAAGCGAACCTGGAACGGAATACAAAGGTACACAAAAAAGAGCTAGAGGTGAAGAGAGTAGTGTGAGATACCTTCGGTGTGAGTTAAGCGATGTCTGCAACGCTAAGCAAACAATACTCTTCCAGCTTATAATGTGCGATTTAGCAAGCTCCTTGACCTCTGACTTCGTGTCGTCTCGTGCCATGTCTCCGAAACGCAGAGCTTACACTGCAAGACTTTATTTTTTTCATTCCTTGTAAATGCATTACTATTTTGCTCCGAAACCGCAACTGTTTCTGATACACTTATGTTAGAAGCATTACCTATTTGAACATTTGAACAGTCTGCTTTTCTCCGAATACACTCGCTGCTTACTGCTCAGTTCCACACTACTACATCCACTCATAAACAACTGAAATGCATTTGTACCTCGTTGTCTGTCTGTATAATGAAAAATAGGCCGTCAGCTACACAAATCTTTCTTTGTTTATTGCGCATTTCCAACTAATGTTGCATAACAGTTAAGTTGTAATCGTTGTAACTAATGGCTGACATATGGCAGCCCCTGGAGATGAGTCGAGTTAATTAGACCGTGACAAAGATTACGAGCGTTCTATATTGGTGCATTTTTTAGTAAACCATTGAAAAAAAAAGAGTGCATGAATAAACACGAGGGTAGTTCAGATAAATATGTCGGTCTCCATCATGAATATATGTATAATATCAAGTCAGTATCACACGAGAGTTAGTCTTCTTTTCTTCATTATTGATTCCGACGCTGAATCATATTCTGGTATTCTCGCTGCTCTCGACCCGCGGTCGTGTTGATCTCTGCTGCTTTGCCCCTCTCGAATTCACGGCGCTGATTGAATGAGATGCTTGGTCAACGCTTTTCGATGTCTTTTTTCGCGTCCACTTTGTCTGGTTTATCCCACGTCCCTATGCTTCTTGCATCAGCACTAAGTATTTCTCATTTACATTGAGACAAGCTCTAGACTCGTATAGCATGTTTTGCTCAGTGTACGTATCTTGTGCTTTGACACGCTTCTTTGTCTCCTTCAAGAATTTTTTGTGAGCACAGACTGGTAATTACAGAATTCGCTTGCTTCTTCCCTTTTTGGAAAGTAATTGCTTGCAGGAACTTCTCGTCATACAGGGAACGACGTTATGGCCATTTCTATCTCGGTATTCTTCCAAATCAGTCAAGGACCGCTTTCAGCACGGCTCCTGGCCCACCTGTATTGTGAAGTTCCAATTCCACGGACGACTGCTTCGAGCGTGATCATTCTGGTAGCACCTGATTCCAGTGCACTGTAGATTGCACCTTCACGTCATTCATAGAGCCTTTTGCAACAGCATCTGTTTTTTCATTGTTTTCATTTATGATTCCAGATGCAGACTTTTCCATTTCCGCCTCCATTTTATGTCCGTTCAACACAGCCGCTCTGAGTCAACTTCGAAGTCAACTGCTCAATGCCTCGGCATAGTCAAG